GGGGGGGAAATAAATACAAACCAGGGCGAGTCTTCCTTCACCTGCAGAAGGAAGGCGATGAATGCTGAACAATGATCCATTCATGATCCAGGTTTTTGTCTCTATGAGAAAGCCAGGCGTAGGATGGCCTCTTCAAATGGGATTAGCTTCCTTGCAGAGGGACCCAAGTGTGTGGACTCCCTGGGAAGGTCCTCTTCACCTGCAGGATAGTAGTCCTTGGGGGGATCAGCCAAATTATTATTATTATTATTATTATTATTATTATTATTATTATTATTGTAGTAGTAGTAGTAGTAGTAGTAGTAGTTTATTTATACCCTGCCCTTTCCCCAAACCTTGGACTCATAGCAGCTTACAAGATTAAAAACAATTAAAAGCGTACAAAAATGGTACACTAAAATAGAAAATGCTACCTAATACTACTAGTACTACTGGCTGGTTCTTGAATTTCTAATGAAAAGAAGACACCCAAGATTGAACAGGTAGCCTTTGTTTACCCCTGCCTCAACCTACTGGTGAGTCACACTCTCTCAGCCTCAGGGGAAGGCCACGGCAGCCCTCCTCTGAACGGATCTTGCCAGCTAAACCCCATGATAGGGTCCCCTTAGAGTCACCATAAGTTGGGAAGGACTTGAAGGTGAACAACGCACACTCAAACTCCTTTGAAGTCACACTTTTGTTCGAGGCCCTCTCCCCCTCTGCCCCAGAATTGAGAAGTTATCCCATTTTATTTGCACAGCAACCATTTGGTAAGGTCAGGTTGAAGGAGACTTGCCCAGCACTAACCATCAAGTCGCAGGGATGACTAGAAACTGGTTAGACTCCAACTCATAAGTATCTGTTCCCTCCCTGACTTGGGATGTGTCTGCACTGTAGGAATAGTGCAGTTTGATACCACTTTAACTGCCATGACTTCATCCTACAGAATCCTGGGATTTGTCTTATTTGTGAGGCACCAGCACTCTTGGGCGGAGAAGGCTAAAGACCTCATAAAATTACTAATCCCATAGGATGGTGCTACAGCACTTAAAGTGGTGTCAAACTGCATCATTTCTATAGTTTAGATGGGCCCTTGGTTGACTGAGGAAGTCCCTTTAATAGAAGCAATTCCATAGCTGACTTTCATATTCTGAATAGTGAAATTCCAGATGATCCAGTCAGTCTCATGGGACCATCTTTGGCACCTTTACTTAAAAATATGTCCTTTTTGCCATGGGGCTTGCTCTCGGGTAAGCATGCATAGGAC